CTGCACCAGGCCCCTGCCCAATCGCGACTGCCCGCTGAGCGTCCCGAGTTGCTCTCCTTCGTCCCCCGTTGATGATGTTCTGGAATTAGATCGAGGTGATGGCTGCACAATGGAATACACTAAATGCCACGGAATTGTACATTTTAAAATGGTTAAGATGGTAAATTTTTTAAAATGGTAAATTTTGTGTTAGGTATATTTTACCACAGTAAAAAAAATAATGCTGCTCTTAACATCCTTGCAATTCGCATGCTATTTGTCATCATTTTAGGATCTATTCTTTAGAGCAAATTTACTGGATCAGGGGTATGACAAACATTTTCAAACTTATTGACAAATTCCCTCAGGAAGATAACCATTTTACACTCTGGGGTAAGGACCAGACTGAGTGTGTGATCGAGTGATGGGCTCAGCCAGGATGAGGGGTGCTGAGTGCCATGGGGCCTGGAGGTGGCTACTGCCCTTGGGACCTGTGGTGACCGGGCAGCGAGCGCTCTGTCAGTGTGTCAGCGGGAACCAGGCTGTCTGACGGCCACCTGGCTCACATTTGGGCAAAGGGGTGCCTCTAAGGCTCGAGTCCCCTTTTCCTGGTGGAAGTGAAGTGATTTCCAGCCCAGCTGGGATTGGGTTGAGCTGTGGTCCACGGACCAACCCGCTTGGGCCCATCCCAGCAGCAGGAATCAGCCGTGTACGGAGAGGCCCTGAGGAGAGAACATGAAGTCTCAGGCAAGGCAAGCGCAGTGTGAAACCGGCAGGACTCGCTGCCAAAGGGCAGTTTCTAGCTAAGGCAGGAAATAATGCCCAGCACGTGGCAAGGCTAGCACAGCCCACCTGGAGAGCTACAGAAGATGAGAGCCATTGGGGACTGGGTGAAGGGGGTATGTGGGACATACACATGGGCTTCAGGCATGTGAAGTGTTGGAAGGTAAAGTGGATTTCTTGTTCCAAAAGAGGCAGGTCGTGAGTTTGCTGACAATGGGCTCATCCAGCAAGCATCGCTGTTCCTCAACCGGAAGGGCTTCTGGCACAGCTGACCACCCCGGGTTCACGTGGGAAACTCCTGGGAAGGCTGCGTGGGGCTCCTTGGGGCCTGGCTTCCTCTCTGATCTGAGGACTCTCTGTCTGCTCTGGCCTAGCCTGGCCTCCCCATGCTCATCCTAGCCTTTGATTCCCGGTGGGCCCTCTCAGGTCAGAAATCGAGGTGTGTTGGGAGTGCATTCTGTGAGTTCCCGAGGAACCAAGTCACGCGGCTGTGAAACCTCACCCACGTGTTAGGTCTCCCAGGGTCCAGCCTGTGCCGTGCGCTTAGCATGCTCAGCAGCCTCCCTGGGTATTTGCTGGGCCTTTCATGGCTCCCGATGCACAGGTGTTTGGGCAGAGCCTCAGCGAGGGTCTGCTTACCAGCGAGTGTGGTTCTTCCATCGGATGGACACACAGGTACCTGGCCTTGAGTGGCTATATGGGACAGGAGGGGGCAGGAAGTGATGAGCAGGTGCCAGGACACCCGCTCCTATTGCTCTAGTCCCCAGAAAGAAGGATGTGTGAAGGGACAGGAAAGAGTGGCAGCTGTGCGATCTGGGGTAAAAAGGCAATGGAGAGGCCCCCCCCC